TGAACGGGGCCCACTGCTTGTGTCTTGTTTTTTTTTTTTTTTTTTTTTTTTTTTATTTATTTAAAGTGCTTGCCAACTCATTAGTGATACTTTAGAGCACCACTTTTAGTGGGATGTATCATTACCCTTAAAAAAGTCTAAACTCAAAAAAGTCAACTAGAAAAGTTTTTGTCAAATAACAACTTAATTATGATATATTGTGGTATTAGATATGATCCAATCATGTTATATTGTGATTAAAATTTTAATTATAACAAAAGAGATCATGGATTATTTCTCAAAAAATTTGTTTGTGATATTAACACTATATTTTGGTAATTGAGTTAAAAGCCAATGTTTTCACTTTTTGACTTTTTGAATCACGTCACCTTTTTATTTTTTTTACACATTTTTCAAAAAAAAAAAAGTTAATTTTTTTTTTTTCGAAAAAATTGACTTTTAACATACTTTTCCAAACAGGCCAAGTATTATAACTTACCTATGATATATATATAAAAGCCAATGTTTTCACTTTTTGATTTTTTAAATCACGTCACCTTTTTATTTTTTTTTCGAAAAAATTGACTTTTAACATACTTTTCCAAACAGGCCAAGTATTATAACTTACCTATGATATATATATATATATATATTTTGAGAGGTGTGCATTATAATATTATCCTATGGCTATGTTTGGCATAAACTTTTTGGATTAAAATGGTTATAAAAAAGACAAAATAAGTTAAAAAAATCAATAAAATAAAATATCACATCTAAATCATAATCATTTTATTTTTTCTCTCAAAAAAATTTAAAAAATCAAAAAGTTCATCCCAAATAAAATTTTTTAACCCTAAATTAAAATAATCAAAAAATTAAAAAATCTAAAAATATCAACTTACATCCCAAAGGAGAGGGCATAACAGGGTTTTGATGAAAGAATCCATTTTGAATTGTAAACTACCTATAATGATGGGCAGAAAATAAATATAAATAACAAAAGTGATCATTATTACAACAATAATACTATATCTCTCCAATTTGTCATCCTTAAACTATTTATAATGATGTGGTATTAAGATTAGATCCTCTACGATAGATTGTTTTACAAATAAAAATTTGATACTTATCAGACACATCATTAGGGGTGATTTTTAAATGTGATAAATTAGGTGTCTCAAGTATTTTTTTTATATTACAAATGCTTAGAATAAAGTTTTTAAGGTGAAAATGTTTTGGAGTTCTAATTGAGCACATCTAATCCATCCCTAATGATGTGGGATAGACTCCACTCTTCACTCATCATCATCCTCTCTCTATCCCTCTCTATTTTCTCTCTTTTTTACCTCGTTAGAGGTCAAAATAAGGATGCTATATTAAGGGATGTAGCACCACTTAAAGAGTAGTGAGCTTTCAAGAAAGAGTACGAAATTTGTTTATAATATACTAGCTTATCACCCGTGCTATGCACGGGATAATTATAGATATTTATATTTGTTTTAATTTTTTTTTTAATATATAAATTATGTTTTTTAAGATTTTTTATAAAAATAATTTAACAATCTTATCACTAACCATAGTGTACAAAAGAAATTAAAAAAGCTACTGCAGTAACTATGCACGGGCTGTATCTATAATTATTTGTATGAGGGTATTTTAAATGCTAATCAGGGATTTTGACCAAATCAAAAAATGCAGGCATGTGGATTGGAAAAAGTTAATAAATGCTGATCAGGGGATTTTGACCAAATCAATAAATGCGGAGTTTTTTTTTTTTTAAATCAAAAATTAAGATTGAGAGATTGGAGCTCTCACAAGACTTGGGGTTTAGAACCTCCCTTTTTCTTAATATATTTATAATTATCTATATATGTGAACTAGCATATCACCCATGCTATGCACGGATTGTGTTTACAATTATCTATATATGTGAATTGTAATTTAAATTTTTTTTAAATGTCTTCTTTTTTTTTCATTTTTTATATTATATTAAAGTTTAATATTTTGATAATAATCATATGTGTTGGACTTTTTAAGAAATTTTTTTTATGCTTGTTCTTAATGCATTAAAATATTATTATGAGGGATAATAATCGTATGTGTTGGGACTTTTCAAGGAATTCATATGTGTTGAGTTTCAAAGAATTTTTTTTATACTTGTTCTTAATGCATTAAAGTGTTATTATGAGGGTAAGACTTGGGAGTTGAGAGAAGTTAATAAATGTTAAGATTTTTTTTTTAAATCAAAAAATCAAGAAATTTAGATTGGGAGATTGAAACTCCCATAATACTTGGGGTTAAAAACCTCCTTTTGCTTAATATATAGTATAGATTTTGGTGAGGGGATTAACTATATGAAATATCATAAATACCCATTGATATTTTTGATATATCTTAATATTAAAAATTATATTTTATAATTTTTTTGTAATATTTATAAAAAAAATATTTACGCTTCGTGATTGTCAATTATTTTAAATGACTATTATCAATATATATTACTTATGAAAAAAATAAGTCGATTTTGTGATTGTAATATTTTTTATTATTTTAATATATATATATATATATATAAAATGACGTAATACCAACCAAAAAAAAGCCACACACAAAACACAGTATGGATAAAATAGTCTTTTTCCAAATTAATTCTCTCACTAGTTTTGAAATCAATTCCAAAAAAAAGCCACACTCCAACAGATCTTCTTGTTTGGTCGCACACTGCCCAAAAATTCGAAAAGTACCGCCGTTTTGCCTTCATTACACACATAGCCTTTTAGGCTCGAACAATCATCCATACTGTTCATCGTCTAGCCCCAAAGCCCTCACAATCACAGCTCCAAACTTCCACTTGTTTGTATTCAAGCCCTGGTATCATCGTCCTCATTATCAAATCGAACTCGCTATTGTTGTTGGGATACCATTTGTTGATTAGCGTCATATTCTCCACTTAAAACCCGAACGTTTCATGTTCTCTTTAACACTTCATATGATGCTCTACGTGTTCTTAGTTTTGTTAGCATTATAAACCTGTCATAGTGATACTGCAATAGCATTGTTAGTATTATCATGCACTAAAACGAGCTTAAAACTGCTCTAGCTTCCCAAACCCCACACCCTAGGAAGAACTCCCCCCAACTGGAATGAAATCAGACAATAATACTGACTTTAATCGAAAATGTTAAACAAACTGGACTAAAAATTTGTTGATAGCCTTGCGCATGAGTACAACTGAACTAGGGATTCCTCTTCAAACCGAGCTAAAAGCCCTTGCCCCCTGGCCTAGATCGGGGTAAACCACAACCGGATGCAAATTCAGCCGAACTAGGAGCAACACCCTTCTCCTGACCAAGCTAAAACCTTGCCCTAAGTCAAGGCTGGGCCAAACCCTGGCCCCTTCTTTAGCCGAGCTACACATCATACACACTCTCTTGGCCAAGCAAACTATAAACTAATTTGCACTATTGTCTTAACCCGGTCACCACCTGGCCATAACACGTTCTATGTTCTTCACTGTGCAGACTTGACTAGGTTATTCAGGTATAGCATTCGCTTGCCCCTTGGTGACGCTACTTGACCGAGTAGAGAAGACTCGCTGAGGTTTGGCAACTGCCTTCGATGATCATAAGGGCTTGAGCTTGCTCCTCCTACACGATCAACCCCATAACGTTGGTTTCTTTCTGGGATGGCTTTGATCATGCTATCGATCTTCAGTAACTTTGTGGCTATTCGATGCCTCACCCACAGATTCTTTGGGGCGTAGACTATTTGAAGGAGGAACCTTGTGAATTTACCGCAAGCTTTTTGCTGGTTCATGTAATATATGAACTCGTCTATGATATCTTTAACCTCATAGGCCAAGTTTCTAACATTGGCCACCCATGTCTTCTCTCCTTCAGTCTGGACTGTTGTTTTATCAGCATCCTCTAAAAAGATCTCATGCTTGTGAACTCATGCTTGAGTTGGTTGAGTTCATCACGTACTCCTCCAATCAACGATGCTTCATTTTCAAGTGCAAAAACTATTATGCCAATCAAAAGTCCCACGGCAGCTAAGGCCATGTTTGCTTTCTACCTTCTTTACTCTTACTTCTTAGCGCCCTGCTGCACTTTCATGTGTTAAGAGGAAAACTTTGTAATACTCACTTTCATGTCTTTTCACTTTGTTTCTTTTGGTGGTGTTTGGCAACCCGTAGGTGAGGCTATTTTAGCCTGTTTCACCAAAAAAGCTAAGGGTCATTTGGGATAATATTTTGGGTTAAAATAGTCCTATAGAATAAAATAGGCTATTTTAGTCAAATAAGGTAAAATGTCACATCAAACTCATAATTATTTTATTTTTTCTCTCACAAAAGTCAAAGAAGTCAAAAAGCTTATCCCAAATGAGACTTTTTAGCCCCGAGCTAACACAGCCAAAAAGCTAACCCATATCCCAAACGAACGGGAGCCTCTATTTGCACACACCAATTCCACTCTTTGCACACTTAATGAATTTTATTTTTATTACAATTTTATCCCTAAATAAAATTACCATTATAGACATCTCACACAATTCAAATAAACACACATCCTCTCAATACACACACAGACGTTGTAATGCCTCTGCTTCCTCATTTTGCTATATGATCCACACACACACATCTCTCTCCTTCCCCTCCCCTCCCCTCCCCTCCCTCTGGTTCGGTCTTCCAACGAGGAAGAAGAAAGAAAAAAAAAAAAAAATCAAAAAAACCCCCAAAACGACGTCGTTTTGGGGGGCTGCTGGAACGGCCGCCGGGAAGGGCGGCCGAGAATCCGGACTCGTGTTTGGCAACCCGTAGGTGAGGCTATTTTAGCCAGTTTCACCAAAAAAGCTAAGGCCCATTGGGATAATATTTTGGGTTAAAATAGTGATATAGGACAAAATAGGTTATTTTAGTCAAATAGGATAAAATGTCACATCAAACTCAAGTGAAAGGACTATTTTACCCCTTTGTTTACTCATATAAAAAATCAGAGTAACTCTTGATGTAAAAGGCTCTCATCTGTCTCACCCACTGAACTAACAGTTTCAAGAACACCATCGTACCTCTCTCTAGCGGATCTCACTCCGGTGGATCTGTCGCTTAGAGACCACATAGCTGACTGTCTTGCTCACCGATCGTCGAAGACCTGCGATAGGTAGGGTACCCCATTTCTGTGTTTGTTCTTCCTTTTTCCGACTTCTTGTTGCTGGTTTTCATACGACTGTTTCAGATCGCACTGTAATTTGGGCCGTATTGATGGTATTTTGTTGTACTTTCACTGATTTGCACCCATGAACTTTTTTCCCCTATTTTTTTTTTTAAAATTTTATTGTTCCAAATTTGGTGTTTCAATTGTCATGAGACTAAAAAATTAGGCAAAACAACCGACGAACTGTGTTGTTGTTCAACAAAGATATTCTGCTGCAGCTATGGTTTTGTTTTTGTTTTTTTTTTCTTCCTTCAAAATCTTTTGTGCATGTACAATTTTTTTAAAAAAATTTATTTTCGTGTAAAAATCTTCTCAGCAAACATGGTTGCCTCCTAATTTGTTTTCCTTTTGTGTTCTTGTTCAACAAAATTTTGCTGTACTAGTGCTTCCGAAGATTCTTATGTTTAATATACAAATTTAGTTAACTTAATTACTTGTGTAACTTCTTTTCCAGTTTTACACCAAAGAACCTAGCCAATCTGCTGTGTTGAAGGAAAAATGGATGCTCCTCCTATGTTTTTCAAATTTTTTGTTGTGAAAATTTGTTGTGCAGTTATAATACTCAGTTTTTTTTTTTGGAATTCTGTTATTTTAAATCTGTTCTTCAAACAGATTTGCAAGATACAATTGTAAAATGTCCTTATCAGAACAACATACAAGTTAACTGTTCCATCACACATTGGAGCTAATATACAATTATTTTGATGTGAAAAGTATCTGTTCTTCATGTTAACTTTTTTTTTATTCAATCTGTTCTGTTGTTATATATTAACGTTTGGACTCAAAATTGAAGCTCATATACATTTTTTTAAAATTTTAAAACTAATCTGTTCTGTACATTTTTGTTTTCATAATTTGTGCTGTAGTTGTAGTTATGTATTTTTTTTTTTTGGTAATCTGTATTGTAAACATGTTCTTCAAACACAAAAAAGGAGATATAATTGACTACTTTGCACATGCGGCCAAACCATAACGTAACTGTGTGACAAATTGAAAGTAGTATACATTTTCTGTGGTAGTCAAACTAATCTATTCTGCACATTTTTATTTTCAATATCTGTCATGCTTCGATATAACTATTACTGGTTTTCTTTGAAATTTGTTGTTCGAAATCTGTTATTTAAATTGATTTGCTTCTTACAGTGGAATAAGTTGGTTATTTGGTTAACTGTAATGTATATTTCTTTGATATTAACACTACTCTGTTTTGCACATTTGTGTTTTCAAATTTGTTCCACATTTATGCCACAGTGTTTTTATTTATTTTATTTATTTATTTTTTAAACTCTGCGCTTGTAAATCTGTATTTCAAACCAATTTGCTTCTTACAATTCAATATTGTGCCCATGCATATGAAAAATCAGAACCGCTACAGACGCCCAGTGGGGGTCGCGCCCCCAGTGAGGTGGCGTGCCCCCACTGGCCGAAACTTTAAAAAAAAAAAAAATAAATAAAACAAAAAAAAAAAAACAGTTTTTTTTTAAACCCAATCACCGCCTGCCACCTCACTGGGGGTCGACCCCCAGTGGGGGTCGACCCCGAGTGGGGGTCTGAAGCATTAATCATGAAAAATTTATTAATTGTGTTAAAATACATTTGTCGTGATATGACCACTAACCTCTTTTGCACCTTTTTCGTTGGAAAATCTGTTTTGCATAGTACTGTGTTTTTTTTCTCATCTACTTTTGTACATCTACGCCGCAAACAGATTTCCTTCTTACAATTTGCTAATTTTCAAAATTGGTACAAAACATAAATTACCTGTTCGACAAAACATTAAAATTAATATATCCTGAAATCTTCAGACCATCCCAGGGTGAATTTGTATACACTTTTTCATATCATTGTCGTCCTTTTTGTCTCCGATGTTGTACCCTGTTTTGAAACAGCGGATGGCTTTCTCTTTCTCTACTGCCATGTCAACATGGCCATGGCGCATGTGTGCTTATGGCAATGGCCATTGTTTTGTGAAGGTATCAAGATCTCACAAAAATCCTGGTCGTGTATATTATGTTTGCCCTCGGCCAGTGGTGAGTTGTAACAAATGATTATTTCTCACTCTATATGTTTGTTGGATGTACGTTAAACTGATTGAACAAATATAGGTAAATATTGCCTTGTGGATACAGGATATCCAAACAAGAAGGGGTATTTGGCACTATTCAAAGGGTCTCGGTATCACCAAAAACAATTCCGGGATCATGGACGACGCGACAACCCAAAAGAATTGTTTAACGAGGCGCACGCATCAATGAGAAGCGTGGTGGAAAGGACTTTAGGAGTGTGAAAATTGCGCTGGAATTTTCTTAAAGACATGTTCGACTATGATTTTGCGTCGATGCTGGTGCCATTAGTTGGTGCGTCAATGACCATTGGTTGGTGCGTCAATGACGTTACACAATTTCATTTGTAGACACGAGACAGCCGGTGATGCCCGCAACAAACATGTCAGATGTTCGTCAGTTCCAGATGACATGCTCGCTGTGGAAGACGGAGGAGAAAATATGGATGACAGCCGCATGGTTGGGGATACGGATGTGGATATGGCAAGAGTTCGCGTTCGTATCCGCGACCATTTGTTTCACATACAGAATCAAGGACTATTGTGAAATGATTGTTTTGTATACGAAATTTGTTGTATGGTGTCATAATTTGACACACGTAGCATGACTTTTAATTATGGACGCACGTTCGTTGGAAAAACTAGAACAAATCATAATGGACTTACATTATGGGAACCAAAATTGATCTATTGTGTTATGTTATTGTAATTTGTACAAGTAAAACGCATATGTGGTACGAAATTAGGATTTGCATGTAAATTCGTCAAATTGGAAAGGAAAGTGAAGTGTCTAACAAACTTGGAAATGTTTTTATTTCGGACTGTAAACATGTGTAAACCAACTTTTTATCACATTTGTAATTTACCATAACTCGTAAATTTAAGAATTAAAAGTTAAATTTGGTACAAAGTAGCCGTTATTTAAAATTCATAATTTTCATATTTTGACTTTTGCATTCCTAATTTTTAAAAATTAACAGTCAAATTTCAGACAAAGTTTCCAATTTAATAAGTTAACTATTTAGGCCAAGTTTGGCATGATTGAAAAAAGATAAAAAGTCAAAAAATCACTATCCTATTTAAGTCACATCATCTTATTTAAGTCACATCACCTCTCTAACACATCACTTCAAACCCAACCCAAACCCAATCCATATTTCATAAAAAGTCAAAAAGTGCACTTATTTAGTTTTCCCAAACTATTTTTGAACGTTAATAGTAAACGTCCATGCAAATGTCATTCATTTTAATTCGTAATTTCCATAACTATAAGGCAAAGTTGCAGGCAATGTGACTAATAAATTTATTTTAATTTCTAATTTTTGTAAGGTCAATGGAAATGTATTACAATTTTTTTTATTTTTGTTATAATTACTAAATTTCATAATTTAGTATTTAAATGTAGCCTAACTTTGTAATTTATTTTAATTCAAAGTTTGTACAAGTGAAGGTCAAATGTGAAAGAAATTTGTCTTTTCCGTAAAGTCTTATTTGACAATTATAAGTAAACTATCTTACAAATCAATACTGCTATACGCACTAATTTGTTTATTAATTATTATATTAATAGATGATTAGTAAAAATTTAACAAATTTTGAGTATTTATAATTTCTATAATACATGAAAACAATAATAATGCCATGAGATTGGTTGATATACTGATTAATATACAAATTGCTTAGAAATATGTCCATCTTTTTTTTCAAACTAACATGTACTTAATTTTTTATTACAAACAAAAAATTGTGTAATATATTTGTATAGCTAGTCAACAAAGGCTGGCGGTGGCAGTGTCCTCGCTGTCACGTCATTGGTATCTTTTTTTTTATTATTGTTTTTGGTATGGGCACTTTGATCATTTTACATAATACAATCATTTCAAACACATTTTTTAATACAACAACTCAAATAAAAATTAATCTCATCTTTTTAAACAAAAAAACAAAAATAACTTATTCCCTCCGTCCCAAAATATTAGTTCCTTATTTCATTTTTTATTGTCCCAAAATATTAGTCCCTCTTTATAAATCAAGTACAAAAATAATGTAAATTTCCTATTTTGCCATTCTTTTAAATTAATAAACAATTTAAAAAGTACAATTATGACATTGATATTCCCAAAAAATGTACTATCAAAAGGGTAATTTTAGAAAACTAACTTTTTTCAAATACAATAAATGTACTACCAAAAAAGTTAGATTCCCCAAAAGAGACCAATATTTTGAGACGGAGGGAGTACTAAAATAACTAAATAATTAAAATACTTAAAAAATAGCCACTTCCCAAACACTCACTTTGTGTTTTTGGCGTTGGTGCAAATGTCACAAGATTATAGGGATCAAGATGGCGCCTATGATTTCAAAAATCTCCCTAAATCTCCGTTACTATGGTAATATTAATTATAATTATTTCTAAATTATAGAGATTCATCTTTTTTAAGTGGTGGCTCCTCTATATTTATAAAATATTGAATCAAAGTGTAAAATTAAAAATAAAAATAAAAATTAGACAAAGTGTGATAAAATTTGAAAATCCAAAGTGATTCATGATTAGATCAAGATTTAAATATTTCAATTCCCAATTATTCACAACACACAATCTAAATCATCGAGCACTTATGAAAGTGATTTAGATTGTTGTTTTTGGAATAAACAATAAACCGACACAAACGATTTTTACGTGGAAAAACTACAATTGAAGAGCCTTCAATTGTAATAAAAAACCACGGACGAAACCCCACTAATCAATCCACTACTGATGAAAGAAAGATTACAAAGATAACACACAGATTACCCAACTCAGTCAATTTGTCTTCAAACCTTCTGTAACTCTTTCACCAAGCCTTCGTCTCGGAACTGATTAATTTGAAGTTAAATCCACAACTTCATTTGTCGAATCAACGACTACGTACAAAATCAAACTCCTTTAAAACTCCACGTTTGAATCTTCGGAATCCACCGAAGAAGAACACTCTTGAATATGAAATAACAACCTCCTTGATGTATGTATCTTAGATCATAGGTTACAAACCCTCTCAAATATATCAAGGAAAACTCACCAAAAACTTCAGAAGAAAACCTGAAACAAAACCCTAAGACCCTTAAACAAAATCTAGGAAAAGTAAACCCTAAAATCAGCCTAAACAGATATATATAGAAAACAGAGGTCGCGATCTCCGCTCGAGCACAGGACATCCCGCTCGAGCGGTTTCAGTAAAATACGCGTGTGACCAAACAAGTTTCCACTCGAGCGCTGTAAAACACGCTCGAGCGCGAAATCACACTTCTTAGTAGTTTTACAGACACAACCAACTATTGAGATAGCACATAGTACGCTCGAGCGCCAATGGTCCCGCTCGAGCGGGAAAGTCAAAAAACAAGGAAAAATTACAACTTTTCAAAACAGAGTTTGAACGAGGATTTGACAATAAAGGAACCTAACAATCTCCCCCTTTGTCAATTCCCGGACAAAACTCTTCTAAACAATTTTCCTTAAAACACACACACTAGACAACCTTAACACAACCTATCGGATAAGTAAAAAAAACAACTTTGTAATCAACAAATAAGTTGATGTAATAAAAAAAAAAGAAGTTGAGCTGACATCTGAACAATCCATCAAACATCCACCTGTGAGACAGCAAGCAACACACACCAGAAAAACAAAAACTGTGGAACTGCATAAGAATATATCAAAACAAATGACTATGAAATAAACGAACGTCCACAAAAACAACAGATATTCAAAAAAAACAACTATAGCCAAAATATATCAAAATATCCAAAAATCCAAACTGTACCACCAAATATCCAAACTGTATCATCAAACTTCAAAAAATCTCCCCCTTTTTGCCCGGGAGACAAGGAGTAAAATAACTCAACCAACAGAGATCTGTGTCAAGCATCAGGGGGAAGAGGAGGTTGCTGGATCTGAAGCAAAGAGATAATATGAGCGAGCTGAGTAGTAGTCTGGATGGCGGACTGCTCTAACTGGCCAAGGCGGCCATCGAAGGCATCAAACCGAGCATCCAGAAAATCCAACCTCTATGTCACAACCTCCTCGAAATGTCGAAACTGGTCATGAAAAGTCTGGGATGGAGCAACATCCTCCTCAGCACCAGTTGTGCCAGCATCAATCTCTGCCTCCTCGGCAAGTCCAGCTGCTGTACCTGCAGAAGTACCAACCCTAGAAGACTCTCCCTTGACATGTGCACGACTCTAGGAAACAGTTTTCTTAGTGAAGGGCCTAGATGGAAAGGTATACTCATCATCCTCTAAAACTGGAACGTCAAGCCGGGACAAGAGACGGTTAATTAAACAACCATAAGGGAGACCTAATTGCTTATTACCAAAGATAGCAATCATCCTACGAAGAATGAGGGTGTCAAGATCGATGGACATATGACGAGCAATACAGAAAAGGACGAACCCCTGTTCTTGATTGATTTCAGAAGAGTGAGTGGTGACAATAATATTAGCAGACACAATAAGATTAAGCAGTCGAAACTCGAGAAGGAGTTCAAATTGTTTAATCAAAGTGCCTTTGATCCAATTACGAGGAGCACCACACAAAACTTTAGCCACGACATTAAAATCACAAGTAGGACGAACCGGAAAAGGATAATGTTTCGGAAACACATGGTCAATACTAAGAAGCCTTCTAATAAGCTCGGGATTGACAGAGATGGACTTAGTCCGAACCCACGTGGTGAAGGAAGGACCAATATCATCTATATTCTCAATGTTGCAGAAAAACTCACGGACCCAGTTTAGATTTTGGCTTCCGGAGAAGGACAAAACCAAGTCTCCGCCTAAAGGATCAAACAAAGGACGAATGAGAATAGACTTGAAGGTATTGGGCTGAACATGACGTTTGAGATGAATAGTCCTAGACGCAAACGACTTTCTGAATAACTTGGCTTGTTTGGCAGAGGGAAATCTATCAGGATTAAACGAAGGATGCGACACTGTAGACTTGCGTCTTTTGGGAGCAGACATGGTGACACTAAACACAACTAAAGCCCAAAACAAAACAATCCCAAAACAACAGAGCACCGCAAACATTAGTAACAGTGTGAGAAAGATAGCAAAACCTAGCATAATAATAATGACAGACTCAGAGCATAATATGAATGATAGTATAATGAAAATAAGACACTAATTTGTATCCAAAACCTAGCAAAGCTGAACCAAACTCACCAAAGCACATATAATTGAGAGATGAGAGAACACACTGTAAGGCATTAGATCAACAACGAAGAACCCTAGAACTATGGACATAGCAGACTAAAAAACTCAGTAAGCTCACCATTAAGATGAAACCAAGACACGGTGACAGTGTGCGAGGCAAGTGAGAAGAAAAAACTAAACAAAAAAAAAAAAAAAAAAAAACCTAAAGACGACCTCCATAAGAGCCAAAATAACAAAGGAAAAACAAAGAGAAAGAGAGCGAAAAACTTACCAAGGTTGAAACGGAGAGGAAAGAGGAAGGAGAATGGCAAAATCAAGCCCAATGAGGTCGCAATCCAAGCCCTAGGGAAAAGAGACTGAAATGGGAAAAAATGAACTGAAGGGCCCTGGGAGCGAGAATTTAAACCAAACAAGTATGCTCAAGCGTGAGTTTGATCGCTCGAGCGGGACCCAAAACACGTGTGGGTACGCTCGAGCAGGAATAAAGACGCTTGAGCTCCAAAAACACCTTTGCAGAACTGCAAAACTCTGCACAAATGCTGCAAGACTAAAATACACGCTCGAGCGGGAGATTTTATGCTCGAGCGGGGATTAAACACCACGAACCCCCCCCCTTTTTTTTAAACAGTGAAGAGTATAAT